ATGATGCTGTTCAAAAATATTGTAAGCTATGCTGTTTCTCCTTTTACTATAAAAGATTACTAACCACTGAGAATGAATCTCAAACAGTGGTGACGGAAACAATTCAAATGTTTCAAAATATTTTGAGGAATGAGTTGTGTAATTGAAAGTGCACCCAAATAAGACGCACTAAACTAAGACACACTAAAATGAGGTGCGCTAAAATGGGAACGCACTTAGATGAGAACGCACTCAAATGAGACGCACTAAGAAAACGCGCACTAAAATGCAACGCACTCAAATGAGACGCACTTATATGCCAAACGTATCGAGATAAATATCATTTTTATTACCTAGATAATTGCTCTATAACTCTACGCACATCCAAGATCTCCACCTCTCGTAGTTCGGGTGTGCTAGCATTTCTGCCAAAACATCTGTCTCCAGTGATCTTCTTGTCTGAGAACGTCAAAAACTTCGATTATATACTATATACTTTACTTTAGATCCTTTATATCTTGTCAAATCGCAAAGTACGGCAATTTCAAAGAAAACAATTTTGATCTTACTGAATTTTCTGGAGAATCGGAATTACAAATGGCTTGATTTCGCATTTTTAATCACTCTATGATATAAAGCAGCTAAAATACAGTATAGTTCACAGTGGATAATCACGTGGACTTTAGGGGAAAAAACGAAAGTACACTTTTACAAGATTTGAATGGCAGATCATATACTTCAACATACGCTCTATTTAATTACCACGAGAAGTTTTTTTCTAAGTGCCGTCTTAAGTAAGAAAATCTTTATGGAAGTTCTTCTTTAAAAATAGACCTATGAACATACAAATATTGTTTCTCGCGAAACCGAATATGATAATCCCAACAATTATACGTCGTTCGAAAATATATCTCCCACTCTATCTATTCGTAAATTTTTTTTCCCAGTACGTTTTGGAGTCGAGAAAATATTTGTTCTTCCTCCGCTAAGTGTTTTCCGAAAACCTGTGTCCGGTAAAGTGAGGTTTCCATTTTTTTCCAAACTCCAAACTAAATGAAAATTTCAGGTATTCTACTTCTATATATAAGGCATCTGCAGAAGATAACACAAAGATGCACAAATGTTTCTAAGCTGAGATATAGGTTTTCTAAAAAACCTTGGTTTTTCAGGTAAAATCCATTTTTCTCACTCCACATGCACTTTCATTAAGAACTAATGATATATTTAGAATCAACGCATCGAACTGCATAGAATGATATGTCATTTATATATTTTTATACGTTCGATTTGATGAAATGACAAATTTGCAGCATTCCCGTGGCAATTTTGGCTAGGCACTAGGATTTTCATTTAAAAGCAGTGTGTAAGCCTACGAAAACTATTTTCGTATGCGCTCTTTCAAATGATGTGATTCATAAAGTTTGAAATCACTTTTAGTCAGGCTTTCCTAAGACCGAATCTCTGGCAAAACCTGATATAAACATCTTTGATCTTGCAAATCACACCATTCGAAAGAGCGCGTACGAAAACCTATAGATATATACCTATATTTAGAGGCTTGCGCATCACTTCTATGGCACATGTCCACGTGTCTAGTCAAAATTGTTCACTATGTAGTTTGACGTTTCGAAGTGTTTTTAATTGATTTTAATGGAATTTCAAATTCTTTAATTTCTGATGAATATAAGCTAAGTGGATTATTCCACTTACAGTAGATTCTTATCAGATTGTTAAATTCTTAATGAAAACAAAAATTATCACAAGACTCGGCATGATCGATAACCTGTGTATGGTTCGTTTTTGACATTACCAGACGGGAAGATCACCGGAGACAGATGTTTTGGCAGAGATATAGGTTTTCTAAAAAACCTTGGTTTTTCAGGTAAAATCCATTTTTCTCACTCCACATGCACNAGACAGATGTTTTGGCAGAAATTCTAGCACACCTGAACGATGGAGATCTCGGATGTGTGTAGAGTTATAGAGCAAATGTCTATCTAGAACGAAAAGTCTACTGGGATTTCGAAAAACGCGATCTCTATAATTTTGTCAGATCAGATATACTATGGTAGATCTCGACTTTGGAAACTTTTTTACAGATCGATAGTCTCAAGATTTTACCTCAAAACAGCGAAAATCCGAACGTTTTATCATGTTTCGTTGCCGAGTTATTTAAAACCGAACAGACTGCACTGTGTTTTAAAATGGATAGTAATACAGTCACACACACACACATCAGTCAAATTTTGAATGACATAACCCATCAGGTTTTGTTTTGATTTATCGGCTAATCGATCTGTCACGGCTCATGGCGATTGGAGAGAAAACTGCGATTTCATGGTGCACAATCAGGAAAATCGCGATTATGCATCATGAAATCGCAGTTTTTTCTCCAATCGCCATGAGCTGTGACAGTTCAATTAACCGATCAACCAAAACAAAACCTTATGGGAAGCCATACTTTATCAAAAATACAAAAAATCCAGCCAAAACTGTCAGTTAAATATAATGACGAAAAATAAAGGATCGTAAAACAGACGATGCTCTTGATTACTTTTAAAATCATCGACTTATATACAGAAAGTATCATTTTGGTGTTCTTTCGCTTTTTAAATACGATTGATAGCAAATACATCGATAGTATAAAAGTGTTAGTTACAACATCAAAAAAGTCGCTCTACTAGACTATTCACATTTTCTAGAAATAATCTATCTGATATCAAAGTATATATTTTCTCTAAGTTTTAATTATTTGCAGCTGCTCATTATTGCATTAGTATAGATCTTTTGTATTGCTATTAACAATAAGTCAGATGATTCTAACTTATCGTTCTGACAAATTAACTGAAATTGACCGCGGATCCATCATTTGATAAGAAAATCAGATTGATCGCTGAAGAAAATCTATCCATTTCAAAACAGAAGACAAGTTACAGCAAGTTGAATAACTTCTGAAGGGAAAGAGGTAGAAACTAGCGGTTTCCAGTATTCGAGACAAGATACCGGGTGACATAATTCTGTACAAAAATGCTGTTCAGGCAATAGGCTTACTTCGGTGTACCTTTCGACTGAAAATCCAGAACATCCGACCTCCACCAAAAAAGCTTCGGATTTTTAATTCTAAGATGTGAATTCGATCCAGTGGAACTGTTCTCTTTAATTCTATGCAACTTGCAAGTCTCCATCTGTCACGGTTCGAATGCTATATGTTTTTCCGAGGACTTATCTATCTGCCAAAAATTTAACGTTCGAGAACTCCCATGATACATAGATTATCGACCCTACTGATTCTCGTGGCAATGTTGGTTTGTCGGAAAATACTCCGAAACCTAGTGAAAACCTATGTTAGGTGAAATAATCCATTTTTGCCTGTTTTCACGTAAAATTAGAAAATTTATAACTTAGTCAAATTCGATCCAAACTATGTCAGGATATAACCATATACTCTATTTTATCTGCCCAATATGATTTTGTAGTTAAGATCAGTCAAAAATATTCTCTGACTACGGAAGACTTGTAGAAAATGTTGTCAAGAATCAAAGTATTTTCTATTGACTTTTAAAAGCTGTATTGAATTTTAGGGTACAGTACAGATAAAATAGAGTATATCTTTTTATCCTGGCATAGTTTGGCTCGATTTTGACTAAGTTATAGATTTTTCTAATTTTATTCATGTTAATTTGCTAACATTTTATCTAAATAAACAAAGTATATTTACGTACTGAAACATTGGACTGGGTATTGCTTACCCTTTAAAATTGATTCTTTCTCGTTTCTTGATTGTCTTTTTGATTTTCTCATAAATTTATAATTTGTATTGTTTTTCATTTACTTAATGATGATCAAAGAAATATAATATGTTGATGTCCAGCCGTGTAATACCAAGCAGGTCTTCAAATTTATTTCTGTATTCAACAAGACACACAGATGTTAAATCGCCTTTTCTAACAATGATCCGTCCATAGACTTAATGATAATCTAAAATATCACACAAGAGAAGAGTGATACAACTGTGCCATTCTGACCGTAGTATCTTCACCAATAAGATCGAAAGAATCACAAAGTTCGATTATTTTTATTATTATAGTTCAACAACGTAGTTAAAAAAAAATGAATTTTTATTTTTTCAACCCAATCGCTGATAAACGCGTATAATAATCATCTTTTTCAAAACATTTTACATCGTGCCAAAAATTGTTGCTATAAGATGATATTGTTTGATCAATTAGTTTTTGACTTGTACCGACAGTCGATATTAAAATATCTAATTTAACATTGTGAATACTAGCTGGTAATAATTCTATTAGTTTTTGTCCATCAAGAAAAGTTTTATCACATGATTGTCCTGTTAATTCAAATATTTTTAAATATGGCATTGTTTTTAATATAATCATTAAATCAGCATATATTACCAAATAAATAATAGCCATTTTTAAATATTTTATTGTTGGAAATAGTGATAATTTTTGTGTTATTCTTGAACAATAATGTACAGTAAAATCTAATTGTTTTAATTTTGGTGTATGTTCGAGTACAAATAATATATCATTTGTAGAACAACCGATTGTTAAATTTTCAATATTATTTGATGTTATTGTTGATTGTAGTCCCTTATAATGATCATGGATCTTAATTCCATTATTTGATATATATGAAAATACTTTTAATTGTGGTAAATAATTTTCAAATAGAATCAGTTTCCATATTAAACTTGATTCATTATTTTGAAGTTCAAATCGCCAACGTAAATCAATATAGAATTTAAGTTGTTGATATTGATGATCTAAACTTAACGACGAACTTAAATCAATTTTACTATGCAAAGCGATATTCTCATGTCTATATGATAACGTCAATGATGTTAATCTATCACAGATACTTGGTAAAAAATATTTCCAATATTCATTAAATTTTTCATCTGAAATATTGTTGCTATCCGAATGTAAACGAAGGCGATTATCATTTAAAATATGATTAAAACGATAATTTAGTCCTTGAAATGCGTCAAATAACTGATAGGCATCCAAATATTCATAAATATCCATGCATAATTCATCACTTAAATCTTCGAATGTTGTTACGTTATCAGACATGATTCATAATCTAAAATTTATAGAAAAAAAAATTTATCAAATAATCAAATGGATAAATATAACATTATGAATTAAATTAAATTAAATATATATATCTATAATTGTCTTAGATAATTCAGTTTTGTATAATAAGAATATCGTACCAAGCTTATTCTTTCTATCGAATGCAATTTACATGTATACAAGTAGTAGAAAATAATCATTTGACAATATTATCAGTTATTATATAATCGTTTAGCACTAAAAAGAATATTTCAACTAAAAGTTTAGCATAGCATAGTAAACTTTATAATGACTGTAATTGTACTAACCGAAACAAATTTTCAACAATGATATTTCACATTATAAACTGATGTATGTTCAACAATGTTTATATGATCGACTTGGCCAACTAACTCTGCTACCAGAGTGAAATTTTGTCACATTTGTTTTTTTGCATTTTATTTCTTTTATAATTTTCTAGCAGCAAGCTGTAGGACACCTCATATTTAAGTGTGATGAAGATTTTGAGATACACTCGTACTCAGCACAATGGTGTTGATTCAGAAAATATGATCAAAATACAAACACCTAGTTTTTCTGAGAAATTTTGATAATCAAAGAACATAATACTTGCTAAATAAATTTTTTGTTTTACAACCTCTTTTTCGTTTCAGAAAAGCTCAAGCATTGGAAACTTGAACTGGTCCTTACTACGCGCGCAGTACTCGAGACTGCCTTTCTGTAACGTTTCTCTCAACACAGATGAGAAGAAATACGTCAGACGTCAACGAAATACTTCTGTAATTCGAACTTCAGTGGCAGTCACTCAACCACTTACTAATCGTTGTCCTGACGTGTAATCA